CATATAAAAAATACTCCAGGACCTTAAAATTCAGCTTGAAATTCTTTACAAGTAGAACATACACAAGTCTTAGTTCATTCCTAGTATTCTCTTTATTTCCATATTTACGGATCTACATCAGTGCATCACTAAATATTCCGCTCCGTCAAACATCATTAGGTTCTCAGAAGCTCGTATGCAGTTGCTGCGCTGATTGCCACTCGATACTGATTTCCTCTGCACTCGCTGACGTAGTTGTGCTGATAGTTCTTGGTCAGCATTCCTCTGGTTCAACGAGTTGGATTACATCCACTCGCTATGAGCAGAAACTGATAGCAAAGGCAAATTTGAAATTCCCTTAACTGACTTGCAGAATCATTTTGTGTTTAGTAAATATTCTTACTGACAGATTAGGCATAAGGTTCTCGCAAAATTTTTGCCGGTCAAGAGCCAACACAAGTTCTAAAAAAAAGTTTGAAATTTAATAAAAATAAATTAAGATTTTCGTACACTACTTCACATTTTATGCTTGCATACCTTTCTGTACCTAAATTTTCCGTTACAACTTTTCTCGATTATCAGTAATATATTTTATTATCGTTACCGTGTAAAATATTACAGTTGTTTGGACATTATCAGAAAACAACTGCCCTTCGGTCCACTGACAGTAGTGTAGGGGTGATGAACGATTTTCAGACCATTTACAGTGTTGGCAAAACGGGAGTGCCGATGGAGACCTGAGGGGTGCGTGCGTTTTAAGGTACTTGACCTGGTCTCCATCGGCACTCCCGTTTTGCCAACACTGTAGTTGTATGGTAGAATAAATTATTGTTCCCTAAACCCAATCTATTTGCCATACCTAACAATTTATCTGTTGTTGTATTCCGTCCCAACACCAATGCACGGGAACGGTCCAAACCCTAGATGTTCCCTCTCGGCTCCGGCTGTCTGATTCGCGCCACTGTTTTTCCTCGGCCTCGCCGTGCCGCTCTGTTCATGTTAGTTATACTTTTTGCTCCTCAGTCTGCCATTCTGCCTAGCTGCCTCTGTATCCTGCAAGACCAACTATTCTGGACAATGGCAGATGTAAAGACAGCGATAAGTTAAATGGAATTGAATAGGCAAGCTCCAGTTGAATAAAAGTGCAGCTGACATGTGTGAAAAAGTATGTTTTCATCCCATTTGAGAAAACTATGTATACCAGTGATCCGGAGGCTAACAACATGAAGTATGTTGGAATGACAAATTGCAATCCTAATCTTACAAAAAGATTTATTCTAACATTCGAATGCGTCATTTATAATCTACGGTAATATCAAAACAAATGAGCAAATGATTAGAGGTATGTCATTTATACGCTATGGTAATATCATTGACTTAGTTATATACCATAATGCTTATGGTATATAGTCAATGGTAATATCAAAATGAATAAGCAATGATTAGAGGCTTTAGTTGGCAATATAAGAAATGTAGGAAATACAACAGGTTCGCTAAAGCCCTACTTTAATTTTTTTTTATCCTTTTCCTGTTTTCTCAGTCCTGTTTTCTGGCTACATCGGTTTAGTCGCCAAACAATCACACCAGTCAGTAATCCTCGTCAGATAGCATTACCATATAAACACGCGGATCTGTAGGCTGTTCCTTCATCCCGAGGTTTTGCTGGCTCCACGTTCGCTGCATTATTTATTTCAGCCCGCGGAAGTTGCTGGATAAAACAACAATGTAAGCTTGTTACCTACACACGGGCTTTCGCGTAATTGGGGAAAAGCATCTGGATGATTATTGTGAGAACAAATCTTCCAACGATAAAAACTTCGATTGCCAGATTATAGTTTGACCGAGTAACAAAAAAACCGTGGTTCACTTGTAAATACATTATCTAATATTTTTAGATTTATTGTCTTGATGGATTAGACAAAGGTAATCTAAATATTTCTCCTGTTTATTATCATTATATAAATTTACTTTTGGATATTGAAATACACATCCATCTATATAATACAGTATAGACATACTATGAACCAGCGCTGTAGTCTGCGCTTTATGTATAGAACTCAATTAATTCTATTTTCACTCTTAGTTTTCCATCTAAACATATGATATATGATATAGTTTATTGTTAGATGGCCTTTAGTTTCAATTTGGTCAACACTTTAGTATATACAACAGAAATCTTTAATTGGCATCCCACCCTTGTGGCTGTTTTCAACTACATCCTACTCGTTTCAAAACTGACTGTACTCTTATGTAGCAAAGAATATTAGAAGAATTTAATTTTTACGGACCGGCTTACATATATATATACATTTCAAAACGTCGACTTAAAATCTCTCAATTTGCAGAATGCTACGGCGATATCTTAAAATCAATCACTATGATTAATTATCGATTGCCATGCGAATATGTTTACGATTGTTCAACGACAATTACAACCTCTTTACAAAAGGCAATATTCAAAGGGATGAAAAGTGTATTGTTGGAACAAGCAAAAACTGTTCATCGATTTAAGATCTAATTTAGCGGAATTAGTTTTGTTTTGATGGATTGTAACAACTAATTACCTATAAACACTGCTGCAATTTTCCAATCGCAAATCATTTATAATTGCCGATATTTTTAATCATCCTAATTGATGAATTAGCAAACAATTATTCTTCGTCAATGTCTAATGATTATTAACATTGCTCGTTTGCTTACTAGCCTTTTGTTATCTTGAAGCTTTACCTTATAGTTGTAGCAATTAAATTACGTAGTTTTTTTTACTATTAACACTATATACTTTCCTCAATCGGACATATTATATGGCATTGTAATATGTTTACATTTTACAAGGCTAATTTTGAGTATTTTCCCTCTAACACGCAAAATAGGTTAATATAAATTTTCAGAAATTGCCAATATGAATGAATTTCAATTACGCTCGTAAATTTGCTTTTGAGACTATCATATCCATTAACTGTGTACATTAATTAAATTGCTACATTGTGTGTCGTCTGTAATAAAACCCACCTGGTAAACGTAGTTATAGTAGCCTGTTAATAGTAAGTACAATGTAACATTAGGGTTTCATTGCCTAGCACATATTGGAACATTTTCTATATTAGAATATAGTAGCTAACAGTTTGACAAAATCGCATTTATTATTTAAAATACATTGCAGTTTATGAACATCCTTCTATTAAAGTCCATATAAACACAATTATTATAGGCTATATGAAACCATGTTTATACTTAAGTATATAAATTCGGTACTCAAATAGGACAAATGGATAATTATATTTAATTGTGTAAGAATAAATTACTCGTTTTTACAATTTATAAAAATATCCACAAATAATACGGTATGGTATGTACAAAATAACTAAAGTACTTTAATAGCATTATTCAAGCCTCCTTTTTAACTAATACTCGTTCTGATTGTTAGTTTGTAAAGATGCACCTCTTTACTCTCGTCAGTCTTCACTTGAATGATAACCTCAGTCGCTTACTAGGATGTAAGGCTTCAATGCAAGTTTTATGAAAGTACTTACAGCTTTGCAAGTAGTACAGCAGTGCAGGTCGCATAATAACTTTTACCTACGACCGTTTTTTAAAGTAGCCGTTTTATTTCAGCTCTTAGAATTGAAAATAACATAACAGCATTGTTTACTTTAATAACAACATAGTTACTAATAACAACACGGGTAACGGGCCAATGAGGTTCAAGCATTGAGAGAGAAGAAGTAAAATTCTAATGATTCGAACTTCAACTAATCAGCTGTTCAGGCCAATTTAATTGTTGAGTGGTGATATGAGTGTTTGGTACAATGTTTTGTTATCACCGTCAGTGGCAATGAGAGGTTATAAACGAAAACATCTTCTAGAATTTATGAGTAGTGATTTTTTGTAATAAAAAGAGTGTCGTAGGTTAAGTAGTGTACGCAACTTGCGTAAATAGTGCTATCGACAAGAGTAGAAAATTCAAGGTACGAGCCTTATCGTTTCGTAAACTACTATAACAATATTGTGTAGCGTCGAATGGTAAAATGTGTTTCTGCGTTCATTTCAAATACTTCATTTTAACTCTCTAGTCAATGAAATTTTAATACATTGTATTCTGTCAAGATCTTTTATAAAATTGGGAAAAAACCTCCAAAATCAGTAAACCCTGGGCTGATGGTATAAAAATAAGCAATAATGGTAATAAATTACTCATTCAATCTGTGATAACCAATTGATTTGATGTTTTTTTAATTGAAAATAATTCGGAGTTTTACAATGCGATTTTATAATAAAGTTGCTCTGAGGACGACATATCATGAACATCATTCTTTGTTAAATTTATTTGTTGTTATACTTGTTCTTTGTTATATTTATATTATTTGTTAACTTTATTCATTGTTATATTAATTTTTGTATTCTATTAAGTATTAAATTTATTGCTGAGTGTTTTATCTATGTATTGACAAAGCCGTTAGCATGTATAAATAAATAAATAAATAACATAACAATTAATTAACAATTTTAACATTAAGTAAAATAAAGCATGTATGCTAACTCAGAAAAAATAGGATATTGATGTGGACAGATGCTTTTACAGTATATTACTGTAATTCAGAAAAAACAATCATATTACAAATCACGAAATTTTAATGTGCAATCACACCCAGCACAAAGAAACGCCCCGGTATAGGAGCGTCTACACCGGAGTTAATAACATAACGTTAATTAACTTTTGTTATTATCCGGCAGTCATTAACAAAAGTTAATAACAGAAAGTTATTGACAAATTATTTTGTACTTCAGTTTTTGTTATAAACATTTATGTTAAAAACATTACACTCCACTATCTTGAATCATCGCTCATGCACACAGACAGCAACGGTGTGTTCAACAATGCCAATGTTACGAAGTCTGCGGTCGGCAGCGAGCCGTACCTCACGCGCCTCCTCGTGAGATAATCCAGTGGCGCCCCTAGCGGCCGAACGCGGCGAGAACTGTCTGTCGCCGCCGTCCGCCGTCGTCGTCTAGAGCCTCGACCAGTTGGAAAATGGTGCGCGCTAAAATACGCACCAGTTGACGATATATGCGCGATGGATACTGGCGACCCGCGAACAAGTGAACACCGCAAGTGAAGTGAAGTGACGACGATGACGTTGTCTGCGCGAGTGTGAACGAACGGAATATTTTGTTTATGTCACATGTCGCGGAATGTTTGACGCTGGCTACCGTCGACGCGATATCGAATAGTTTCCGATCTGATATGCGATAAGACTTCGATAGTTTAGTAACACATTTACTTAACTCCGTACTTAAATAATCTCTGTTCTGTGTGATATTCGTAACTAAGTGATCAGTGGGCTGTGATTAGTCAGTTGAATTGTGTGGTGCAGTGAAGTTGTGAGTGTTGTGGTTTGCCAGGCTGCTTGGATTTCCCGCAACATTGGATCCAGAGGAGGATATCTTCGATGAGGGAACTCACATGTCCTCAGCGGTCGCTGAAAATGCAGGGTGAGTCGAAACATTGTTATCTTTACACTTCAAAAGACACATTCATCTCAAAATGCATTACAAACAGGTCACAATGGAATATCAATTATGCTGCCAGTAATAAAGTAATAGTATTGTAATAGTCTTTTGCAAGTTTATCGAGGAGTTTTATTGTATAGTATATTCTTACTAGCCTAATTATTAAAATACCATGACGACCAAGGCGCACTGGCATCGAGATCCTTATCAATTAAAACTTAAGAACCCTTAAAATAAAACATTTTGAATTGATGTATCTAACTTAAGAATCTATTAAAATACGTAGTTAACTAAAATGAATCTACTGTAGATTGTTTTAAAGAAATTAAGTGTTTATTGTGCCGACATTTCACTTGAAAACTTGATAAACATAGAAGACGATTTGAAAAAGTTTGAAATTGGCTTACAGTACTGTATTTTGAATCTTCCATAAAATGGGTGTTATGACTTTTATTTGTGCAGTTGTGTACGTTGCTCATTTTAGTATAGATACGTAAGTTATTGCATGTTTTCTCAGCCAAAAGTAGGTAGGTGTACGTATTTTGCAGGATATGCTGAAAACTTGAATTTGATTCTATCTTCTTTCCGCTATACCCATTGGTCCCCCATCTAGTAAATAATGAGGCACTGGGAGTAGTTTTCTTACACAGTTACTTAGTTATCATCGATAAATAATAAACAGTCTCTTACATTATTAAATTGTATGCACTTGTTCGTCAATTTACTTTGAATAACATAATATAAGAAAACGAGTCAAGTCGGTGCTACAATAAAGCAGACATTGGATAGGTGTCCATGAAAAAACAAGATAAGAGATGGTTGTTGTTATTGAAGCTGCTAAACAAACTAATTGGGTTGTCATCGATCTTTATGGTGTTTGTAAAATTTCTCGATTCGTAGTAGGCGCTTAACTAGGTAACACCAGGATTTATAAGTGAACAAATTTAGGTTTGTTACCTCTTTGGTTCCAAGTGGCAAATCGTCCCGTTTACCGGCAAATGGTTACCGGTACAGTGGTTGTTACCGATGTATTTTTGGTAATGCATTTTTTTTTAAATTGTGTGGGATTTTATCAGCAGAAGCTTCATTATTTCTAAAAAATATTTTGAAAATATTGGATTTTTCCCCAAGCAATGTAACTGTACGCTTTACAATTTTAGAGTCTAGGAACTTGGGTATACGGTATGTTTAAGCCAGAGAGCACAGAATGTTTAAGCATAGGTTAAAGGAGTGCTACTGTACTGCTACCCTCCTCCTGTCTACTCCTTTCATCTATAGTTTAAGGAAGAATGTTAATTGTTAACAGTGTCCGAAGCGCTGCTATTGCCGGATTTGCTCCGCGAACTCTAGAGGCTAGGGCTAGACTCAGTACTCACACTCTGTCCCTCTCAACTCATGGCATTCCTCTCCCCTCACCACCTGTCCCTCCCCCCCTTCATCCTTGTCGTCAGACGTCGCCCTGGGGCACAATAACGTAAATACAGCTGCAGGAAGGGCCCCAGCGACATGGATAGTGCAATCTACTGCACCTGTGGACCTTGCCTAGCCCACCTTTGTGGGTATAACCTAGGGCCTAGACTAAACATGCGACATACTCCCTTAGTATAGTAATATACCTAGTTCTTACTATGTTTATCTCCGATTAGGTTAGTTCTGCCCGGTTTGTTGTAGAGGGCGTTTCGCTGTTACGATAGGCTATGTTATTGCTATTTAACCGGCTATTTTCGCCAAAACATTCTGTCTAATCTTTATTCTGTGGGTTCAGTTCCTAACGATTGCTTGTCAGTTGGTACTAGGCTTAGTGCATAATCAAAGATCGCAAGGATTTTAAATTTACATTTAAACAAGAGAAACTGACATTTAACTGACATTTGGTCAACTTCAGCGCCCTCAAACGCCACCAAAATAAAGTCAATGTCCGTACCTACGTGAGCCAAAACCGAAACAGGTTTTGGAAATTACAATCGGATGATTAGGCCTACCGTAGTCTTCTTGTACTATTCAGAGAGTTTGGCGGATGGTCACTGCAACATGTATAGAGTACAAGTCCGGAAGAATAAACAGTAATTTTTTTCTATGAGTTTTGTTGTTAAACTTCCAACAACATCACCACCTTTCGTTATTGGGTTTTCCTTGAAATGATACATGAAACAATATAAATTTCCACAGACAACTACAAGCAAATTCAATGATTGGTAAATCAATACACAGTAATTACGTTCAATATGTTAATGGACCTGAAACAAGACTAAATTTAAATCGTAAATTTATTTTATTTGACTCAAAACTTATCATTGTGCTTACAAGTGATAGAATACGTTCTAACAACGCAAGAAGAAATTAATCTAGATCTTTCCCAGCGTATTTTCCAATCATTTTCTCCTCTTAAACAAATTTTGACATTTCGACGATGGTTAGGTTACATAGGCCTACTTTTAATCCTATTTAGCTAGGCCTATTGTGTACAGAAAAATATTTTGCAATAGCCTACTCAAACAACTTTTTTCTTTGTATGGATTCGACAAAAAATTTACTCCCAAAACTAGTTGAAGAGTCCTACCACAGCTCTACGTACTTAAGCTTACAATTTTACTAGGCTTAAATAAATAAGATGTATCGCGCAATTTTAGACTGATTAAAATTATCGTGATTCGATTAAGTTACCAGTCAAGTTATTAATTAATGAAGTTGTTGTCAAGCAGTTCTAGTCGCATGCAGCCTCTGCCTTCCACACCATCGCTGTCCGCGGTCGCTTTATCACAATCCATTATCTTCTCGAGTGGACGGCCGTCCATTTAGTCGCCTGACTAGTCCTAAATGTCGTTTCGTCAGATAACTAAACTTTAATAGGAAATCTCAACAAAGTTATGGGGCCAACAAAGTCATGATCGGACTATGGGAACGGGGGTTTATGGGGGGTTTTATGGGGTAAAAATAGGGTTTTCCCATTTTTGACCCTAAAAACACAAAATTTCACAATTTCTTTTTAAACCATTTTGTAGAGCTTAAAAAAACAAATAATTTAGTATATTTAAGCGTTATTATGCGCCTAATTGTTACGGAGAAAATTCAAAAAAAATTTAATTTTAAAATTCCCATGTTATTCTTATGAAGAATAAGTCAACTGTTGTTGTTTGCTTGTTTATGAACATATTTTGATCAAATTTGGAAAATACATTAATTTCTTACTAAACCATAGTACCTTTTAATATTTTACATTAAAAAAACTTTTTGGAGACAATTTAGTTTAAATCTAATCAGGCAGATGGAAATTCGCTAAGTCTGCAGGTTTGCTGCGGCGGGGGTATTTATTCCATGGTTGTAGCCATTAACCACAGCTGTTTCGTGCTGTAGGAAAATGGCCACTTCATCATATTAGAATGTCTTAAAGTAATAAATCTCTCATGGTGGGGTTCGTCAGAAGATTTAAATTATACACGAAAAACACTTTGAACAAAACACGGAAGAGATGAAACTACAAATTTAAAATATTTTATTGAAGGTGGTGAATAATAATTTGGGGACGCGGAATACTATCTTCCGGAAAACTACCCCCCCAGGTGAAACGTGACGTCACAAAATCTGCTAACTAACCAATATGGAAGCCGTGTCCGCGACTGGAATACTACCCCCCCCCCCCCCTTAGACAAATCACGCTATGTAATTTTAATTTTAATTCGAGTAATTCCGTTGGATAATAGAAAAGGCATGTGTTGAATATAAAACAGATTTTCGAAATGTTACAGCAAGTTTGGTTGGTTAGGTTAGACTAGAACTGATTGACAACTAAATTTGAGTGTCCGTGCCTGGAAAACTGCCCCCCCGGTCTCTGACGTCAATGTGACATAGGAACCTGCTTTGGGGGGGGGGGGTAGTTTTCCGGAGGGCAGTCTTCCGGCGACCCAATAATTTCATACACTATTGCCTACTCAGTTGGTTTTTACATAAAGTAAACTTTGAGAATTTATTTTTCAGTTAAGACACTGGAACGAACGGACTTTTTCTCATCAGTTTGCTTTTTAGTTAGTCTGCGTTAGGCTAACACAATTTAAAATGTCGTACAACTGTGTTGCGTTACTCGGAAAGGGAATATTAATAAGAGGATAGGAGTCTGTCACAAAGAGATTTATATGGTACTGTAGGCCTATTATTTATTTAGGGGAGATTTCTATGGAGGAGGGGGTGTTTGGGGACTCGATGTTTAGCGAAGTGATATCAGAAAATAATATATAATTTGATTGCATACAAATGTATAAAGAACTTCATTTTTTTAATTTTTTGTTGAGGGGCTATTGTTATTGTTAATATCCTATGCAATAAGTCATATGTCTAGAACAGGTGGCATGGCGTGTGCAGTAGCGGCTGACGGCGGTTTGGCGGAATAGGGCCAAGGTTCTACGTGAAAGTTTCGATAGGCAGCGCTGCCAAGGTTGCGATAGTATCGCGACGTGTCGTCACTGCTATACAACACTGTATACAATATACACAGGCCAGGTAGTTAACACGACACGTTATACACAGCAATCTAGCTAGAGCCAGTATCGCGACGTGTCGTCACAGCTATAACGCTGTATACAATATACACAGGCCAGGTGGTAAACACGACACGTTATACACAGCAATCTAGCTAGAGCCAGTATCGCGACGTGTCGTCACAGCTATAACGCTGTATACAATATACACAGGCCAGGTGGTAAACACGACACGTTATACACAGCAATCTAGCTAGAGCCAGTATCGCGACGTGTCGTCACAGCTATAACGCTGTATACAATATACACAGGCCAGGTGGTAAACACGACACGTTATACACAGCAATCTAGCTAGAGCCAGTATCGCGATGTTCATAAGCATGGTGGAAGTAAGTTCATAGCACGATACAAAAGCAAGGTGGAGGAGGCGCACACTCTCCCGTAGCCACACAACTCTGTATACAATATACACAGCAGAGATGGCGGTGCTGCCAATCTTGTATAGTATCG